GATGTCTTATTTTTCCATGAAGAAGAATACGGTATACATTTATTGTTAAATGAAAATAAAGGAAATTTATTACCTATATACGGTACAGTAGAATGGTAGTTGTCAACACAAACCAGACAAACTGTGAATCCTACAGTATCAAGAATTTACTCATTTATTCAATGACAATCATGTCATCATCTTCTGGAACATCATCATAACAATCCAATTCCTGAATTTCCTGGTGAATTTCTTGTGACTCCATTTCTTTCAGAATCAGTGGACCAAATCTCTCATGTTTAGCCTGGGGGGGCCCTTATTTTCGGGGGGATGCCTTATATTTCACTCAGAAGGAAAATTGTAAGTAGGTCTTATTTTCAGAGGATGTCTTATTTTCGGGGAAACATGGTATATATAAGTATTCTCTAATATGTCATTATTTACAAAAAACAAACTCTTCCCTTGGCCCTTTAACCCTCCAGTTACCTATTTCTTTGCTTTCTTACCAAGAAAATTTAAAGATTTTGAATATGAGTTTTCTTGAATCATCTCCCATTTTCCTCATCCTGCTCCAATTGGGTTTCTGACTCAGCCACAACCTATCTTGATGAAATCACCAACAGCCTCCATGAGCACTGATCCTAAAGTTACCTCTAAAGCTTCATTTTACATGACATTTTTATGACTTTTTAAGAACATATGACTGTTGTCATTGCTATCCCCCTCTGCTTTAAAAGTATATTTTATTTCCCATATTTCTGTGATACTATAATAAATTTGGGCTTTCCTCTTATCTCACTAGGCTAGTCTTATCCAATCCCATTTGCTTGCTTCAAAATATTGGCCTGCAGCATTCTCAGTGTTCTCCTTCTTAAATAATTTAACTCAACCCAAAACTTTGAATACCATTACACTCTGGTAAGTTCTAAATTTACATTTTCAGACTTGACCTCTACTCTGAAGTCTAGACTCATCTATCAAACTGCTTATCTAATTTCTTCTCTTAATTCTGTACTCTAAACCCCTAAAGTCTAGACTCATGTATCAAACTGTCTATTTGATGTTTTCTCTTAATCTCACACTCAATTTTCCACTATCTCAGTTATAGTAAGAAAAACTCTGACAGCTCAAGTCGAGAGCCTAGGTGTGTCATCCTTGATATATCTTTACCTGTCTCTATCACTTCTAATTTATCAGCTAAGTCTATTGCTATACCCCCAAAATATAGAGGACCATATTTTTCTGAAAATAATAACTATTTTGTCTCTTTTCAGTTTGCTTAGCTTTCTTATCTTAATGCATTAATGTGCTGAGCTGGCACAGCCATGGGTGAACCTGAGAGGGGGCAGTGAAGAATGGAGAAGACAAACAAGAATAAAGCTGGGACTAAGTGGGACACTGCCCTCTCTAATGGAGAGACAGTACCACAGCCTGCAACCCGAGTCTTTATTTTATAGCCAGATTCCACAAGGCAAAGTAAGGGTGTGGTCAAGATGTTTACACTGTTCTCTCTCAAATCTACTCAATTACATGCACTTAATCAAGCTTTGTTTACTTGATGCACCTCCCGCAGCATATATCACTTAGCTATGTGGGACACAGGTTCGGACCATAAGGTCAAGCTTACAACTATAGCCTGTGGCTATAATTGTGCTGAGAGGGCTGTGCCCTCCAAGCTAGGACTTGCACGTGGATTTGCCATGAGAGGACTGTGCCCTCTCATTAGTCTGAGGCTTGAACCTGTCCAAACACTATAGCCACTCTCCAAACATTAATAAGGACTTCCAAGGATATATTGAAGATAGCATTAAGAGTGAACATTCTTCTCATGTTCTTAAATTTAATGTGAATGCTTCTAACTCTTTACTACTGAGTATAATGCTTGCTGAAGGTTTCTGGTAGATGCATGATTTATTACAGGATATTTCTTTTTACTTGACTATGCTGCAAATTATTTTTTGGCATGATCATATATTTTTCTTATGTAATCTGAATTTAGCAAACAGATATATTAGAATTGGATCACCTTTCATACTTAAGATTTACTGGTTCCTCCTATCCACTTCCCTGGACTTGGATAATTCCTATGGCCATAGCTGCTCTGAAAGCAATTTGTATTAGGTAGGCAAGTTCTTGGTTTTCTTTAACTATGTGATACCATCTCCCTAGATCTTTTAGAAGGAGCCTGCTTTCTGGTTTTCCATTGCTGTATTAGAGGTTTAGAAAAGACCTTGTCTTTCTAGTAATTTACAGCCAGGGGTTGAAGAGGCTGGAGTCTGTGCTTAGTATGCCATCTTGAGGACAGATAGAAAAGAACTCAAGTTATTTTAGTTGAAGACATAAAGAGATTTGGGGATCATCTTAATTTAGGGGAATGCCTTTGATCTGGAATATAATGACATATAGCAGGGCCAGGTAAAGTGATCTTTCACAGGAAAGAAAAACCCCTCAAAAATTAATTCTGGCTGAAGTTCAAATAAGGTGAGTTAAGGAACCAGTGTGTGAAGAAGTGAAGACAGACCATAAAATGTCAAGGCCTGAAAAGTTAAATTAATAACTGATGATTTCCCTTGAAAGTTTCCATCATCATCCCTGCAAAAATTTTTCTAAAAACATTCTTGAAAGTACTAAATTGCCGGGGCTCTAAATCCAGCATCTTGAAGGGTTCAGGAATCTGAAAAGGGGGATGTTGTAAGTTAATTAAGAGTCCAGAGACAAAACATAATTTTGGAAGGCGTTTTGGGGAGCTAGGAAAGACAGATAAAGAAACCAAGTTCTCCTCGGTCTCCGGACCCCTTGCTCTTTATTAACACAAATTGTCCTAAGGCAAGGTAGATATACACATCAAAGGCAAGGTTTAGTATACAGAATCTACTGTCAGATGGGGGAACTGCCTACGGCTGTTCAGGTGTTTGGCCAGTAGGAGGCAATACGTGTAGATTGAAATGCCCTCAGCTGTCTTGCAACAAGCAATCATCTATGCACATCTTTAGGTGTGGGGAAATGCCCTTAGCCATTTCCAGCAGGCAATCCACAAGGTTCCATCAACCTTTTGATGAAACTTCTTGCATTTATGACATGCTGGAATTAGCTTCTGGCACTGAATCTTAAATATATAAATGGGGTGGGGAGAAAACCAAAGGAAAGTTTCTTTTCATCCAATCTGTCAACCAAAATGATCAAAATTTTTATGTAGCCAGGTCTGTGATAAAAAAAAAAAAAAGTGGAGCAGAGATTAAAGTTATAAGAAACTTCCTTCTAGATTAACGGGAAGATTTCTTTGAATTTCAGTAATTGTCATAGGACTCTATAGGATATTTAATGGGGATAGGAGTTATGAATCCTTAATCAGTCTTGTATACTTTTATTGAGTACCTAAATACCTATGGAAAACTTTTGATGTGCCAGGCTTTGAGAAATGCAGTCTCAGCCCTGCCTTCATGAAATGCACAGCCTAGTGAGGGAATAACACATTAAACAAGCATTAATTTCAAATGTGATAAGAAGTATTAAATAAAGCATAATGAGAGGCATGACTTCAGGTAAACAGTATTCATAGGTCATTAAATTGAGACTTTAAAAGAGGAAACACACAACCATTGATCATTCTGATCAGATTCCTGTCTTTCCAAAGCTGGAAAAAAAACCAAATTTTTTGTTTATGACAAATTTCCCCCTCTTTATGCAAAGGTTTCTTTAAAATCAAGAATGTGTCCTGGCTGGGTAGCTTAATTGGTTAGAGCATCCTTCTGATAAACCAAGATTGTGGATTAGATCCTGGTGAGGGCACATATAAGAATCAACCAATGAATGCATAAATAAGTGGAACAACAAATTAATGTTTTTTTTCTCTCTCTCTAAAAGTCAATCAATGAATAAAAATTAAAAAACAACAATAAGAGTATATGGTTTCAGAATAATGGAATTCCAGAGGCACAGGCTGTGATGACCATCTGCTATATTATCTTTACCATCAGTAGGAAACTGGCTTGTATTCTCACTGTCATGACATATGGAGCCCACTGACTGTGAGGAAAGAGATGTGAAACCAGCAAGGTCTGCCCCAGGACAAATCCTCAATGAGCAAAGACAGGGTCACATCACTTTAATCATGAATTTAAGAGGACTTGAGGAAGGTAGAAAATGTTTCAGTTGAGCTTTTCTGATGACAGGTTTAGATTATAGTCAAGAATCCTTCCAGAGGCAGGAGAAAGGATAGAGGATGGGCTAGGATCTCAACAATGCAGCAGGAGCGACACTGATATTCATTATAGTCTCTTATGTGAGGACTGAATTCTAACCTCAAGGTGGTCAACTCAGGAGTGAGATTTAGTTTTCAGGTTGTCCACACAAAACTGGGCCTGGAGAAAGCTTAAGGATACCCTTACACATGGATACATGTTATGGTGCACAAACACATTCACCATTATCAAGCAATACATGTTTATCCCCATGCTATGGATACCTGAGTCATTATGAGGGTTTTAAGTTTAGATGTATATTGAATATGCTTTGGGTCAAACATTAAAAGGTAAGCATTTATGAAATCACTTTTTATTTTGAAAGAAGAAAAAAGAACATAGAAGCAGAGAGGTGAAGTGTTTTTCCATAGAGTCAAAGGCTCTCTCCACTATAACAGCCTGTCTCTCCTGCTATTAGAAAAGTTCTCAGAGCACAAGAAATTAAGATCCTTGTTCAGGGCTGGCAGTAGTGAGGGAGAGATATCAGATTATTATGGTAACCCATGGTTTTTAGAACTATTGGTCAAAAATAAAAATCAAGATGCCAAGATGAAAATTCTTCCACTGGAGGACTAGGATGGTGAAGCACAACTCCTGGAGAAAGTGACAGTAAGAGCAGAGAAACAATACAGAGAAGTACCAAAGTATTTTTTTGAGAAAGTTGGCTTTGGAGCTTCACTGCCTTTCTGAAGACAGGGAAGGAAATAGGATTCAGGCTTAAGGTACTGGGTGGTGGAGCTGGCCAGTGGCCATTCCTGTCCCCAAGCGACTCTGTACACTTTATTCCTGGATGTGAACTCGCAGGGGGTTTTCTTCCCACGATGGCAGACAAGCCAGGCTCTCAGCCACTTCCTTCTTGATGGGCCAGCCCCAGGTCTGAAAGAATGGAGCTAGATTCTTTTGCACTTTTTCAGAGAACTTCCTCACCCACAGATTCATCTTGCCAGCGTTGTCTTTGGGGATACTGGGAAGGGTCTGGTACTCAGCAAAGAGTTGGGTGAATGGCTCCCATCCAAAGACCTCCTGGAGCTGAGAAGAGAAAGAAGGGGCAGGATGAGACATCAAGTTTCTAAAAGTAACGGCAACATGCTTGTTCACAAGAATATGTCCTTTACTGCCCTATCGGTGTGGCTCAGTGGTTGAACATCGACCTGTGAGCTAGATCGGTCTATTCCTGGACAGGGCACATGCCCAGGGTAGTGGGCTTTGTCTCCAGCAGGGGTCGTGCAGGAAGCAGCTGATCAATGATTCTCATCATGGATTCTATCTCTCCCCCTTCCTTTCTCTCTGAAATCAATACAAATATATATATATATATATATATATATATATATATATATATATATATATATTTTTTTTTTTTTTAAAGAATATGTCATTTATGGTGATTATTGCCTCTTAGTCATTTATTAGCTCCATCCTATTATATGTCCCTGTCTCTCCACCTGACCTTTGTACATAATTACAATCCCATTGGCTCATTCAATCTCCTGGCCACAAACCTATACTTTCTGAATCCAGTAGGGACATCATGAGAATCTAATATCTGACAAGGGGTATGTACTCAATAAATGACAGTTATTATTATTATTATCTTTAATTAAAAAATTAGATCCCCAGATTCTGATTTCCTTGGCATCAGACATGTTTGAACCCTTATGAGATAAAACCCTTCACTTTTACATATTTGGGATGATATGGGGAGAAGAGGGCAAAAGAGCTGAATTTTGACAGGTGATCTGACAGGTAATAGACAGGATATTCAAACAAATTGCGGCTACAGGAAGGAAATATGGGGAGGCACAGAAACCTGGAACAGTGATATATGCTCATAGCAGGAAGCTGCCTGGTATATTAGATTCCCCAAGTGAGGGTAATTATGGAGGTGAGGAAACTGGAGCTGGAGCTGGCGGTGCTGAAAAAGGGTCTTCTACATTCCATCCTGTATGGAAAGGAGAACACCTGGAAATTGTTAAATGTGGAATATTAAGATTGGCTTGGAAAATGGGTGGTAGAGGTAGAAGAAAGATGCTGGAACAATTTAGGAGGCTTCTGGAATAGAATAAGGAGGACCTGAGATAAGGCCTGAGTGGGAGAAGTGATGGTGAGCAGGAATCTCTCAGATACAGGAAGCAGGTGTCTGCTTGTCTTAAGGCAGAGGCTCAGACTCCGAGCTGTTAAGTGTGCCCATAGCTTTTGCAAAATGATACTCATTGCTCCACGGTGAGTGAGTATGTGGGGAGGGAAGAATTAGGCTTTTAACTTCCAACTTCAATGGCAACTTTCTATCATTTAAGGTCTGTTTCCTTGTAGACCCTTGAAGTGGCTATGTAAGAATACAGAGTGAATGCAATGCAAAGTTATTTTATTGACATCCACTCTTTAGTAAATGAGTGAAAGAAGAAATAAAAAAAGAGGGACTCGTCATTAACTTCTGATTTGCAGTTCTGGGTACATCCTTTAAATGTATGATACTGAATTGGCTGTTTAAACTCCTCAACTTAGCATGTGCCTCTGTAAAAAGTGTGCCTGTCTATAGGGTTGAGGTGGACAACATAGGAGATCTGATATGAAGAAAAGCTTTGACAACTCCAAACCATTAAAATCCCAAGCAGGACTGGGGGAAGAGACAGGGACTTGGGTTAATTTCATATAAAGTAGACCTGGTTTAGGGCTCCCTTCCACTTGGTAGGTTGGTTTTTTTATTTATTAATTCTTAAAACATTTGGGTTCAAGTGGGGTGATGGAAGTCTGAGAATCTTCTTAACAGCCTGATCTTCTACCATGCATTCTTGCAGTTGTCCCACAGACACATATGCCACTGTTACTGTGAAGGAATATAACACTCACTTGATCCATAAAACTAAGGTGAGGTAAAACAAAGCAAAGCAAGCAGTGACCATTTCTGGAGTGCTTATTAGGCGACCAAGGTCAAAACCAGTGAATGGAAGAGGTGTGATTCAATCTCAAGAATGTCTAACTCAGAATTTCTGCCTTTGGCCAAAATACCAATAGGCTGCATTTTTCTCTACTTATTTTTTCATAACACTTTTTATTTTCTCTTATTTATGATTGCAAAATTATAGGAGGTGAGTGGGGCAGGTGTCACTCTCTCCATGTAGGAATGTATAAGCTGAGAAGCATCACCATATGGCTCAATCTCTCATGTCCAGGGGAGGTGGTGGGTCTGGGCAGGTGAAGAATGTTACCTGACAGAGGGGTCTTCTGGCCCCTACCTCACTGAATCTTGGCTCAGTACCTGTAGGTATGTTTCCAGAGCAGTCCACACATTCCAGTTACACAGGGGGGCTCCCTTGCTCAGGTGCTCTTTGATCCTCTTCTCTCTTTCTGGAGGCCTCAGAGCAGGGTGGGCCTGAGCCCTGGGGATGCCCAGGACTGTCTCGTGCACATAGACTGACCAGAGGTTGCAAGTGGCCTCAGTGGTGTGCGGGGGGAACTCCCACCCATGCCGCTGCTGGTTGTGGCCCAGCTCATGGATGGGTCCCCACAGACCGCTGCTTCTCATGTTGGTCTCATTGATGAGCTCCTGTACCGACTCCAGGTGGCACATGATTGGGTACCCTGAATGCATCCAGCCTGGGAACCAAAAAGAAAGAGATGAGGCATGAGGTGTGGTACCCAAACCCATCTCCCTTTATTCCTTTCTACTGTGTAACTTTTCCTTACTATCCTGTCTGCATCCAGTAATTTCAGAAACTCTGTCCTCATTGGAAAGTAAATGACTTTTCTATATACGTATTTTCCGGTGTATAAGACGACCCCCTAATTTCACAGTTAAAACATAGGTTTAGGCCTATATTCTCTGTATAAGACTACCCCCCCCCCCCTTTCGAGGCAACACCAGTTCTTTTTTTAATAGACCGCCTCTCTGACTCTGGCCAATCTGAGCAGGCTTTTTACTAGAACACAGTGTAGCTTCGGGTACAGAACATGTATAACTTGCATGCATAAAAGCCTGCTTGGATTGGCTGAGTCAAAGAGGCGGTCTATTAAAAAAAGAACTGGTGTTGCCTCGGAAGTGGGGGGTAGTCTTATACAGCGAATATAGGCCTAAACCTATATTTTAACTGTAAAATTAGGGGGTTATCACCCCACTTGAACCCAATTTAACTGTAAAAATGTCGGAAAATACAGTACTTCACATAGTCATTCTTGGTATAATTTATTTCTTCATTTGTGTGTGTTTCCTGTGGGTGCAAGGCTGTGACATTATGTCCTGTGTCTGAATTTGAGATCATCAGGGCTAGAATAGCATCATCTCTTTACCTATGTATACCACTGCTTTCCAGGTGTATACTCTTTAACAGAGAGAATTTTGTCATTTTTAAAAGATAACATTGAAATCCAGAGGAATTTTTTTCCTCTTGGAACCAGACTTCCTTATTTTTTCTCTAGATTCCATCTTTCCTCTAAACCACTCAATACTTAATATAAACCTCTTTTCTCCCTCTTTTCATTGCCACTCTGACCTATGCTGGAAGGAAATGTTTCTATTTTAGCCTCTCCTTGAAACAACCCTTAGTGTCATCTGTGAAGTCCTAATACCATTTTTCCTGAGATTATTCTACCCATCCTGTGAAATCTCACCTTGTAGATGTAAATGATTTACCTTCTCACGTGTAACATCTTTGCGTCCCATCAAGGTCCACTCTTTTATGGCTTTTTACTTTTATTAGTAAAATGATGCCTTTACCATATTGGACATTTAAAAAAGGCAAAATAATAAATGGTCCACTGGCTAGGAATCTTTCCCTATGACACCTACCCGCTGAGATTTGCACATCAGCAACAATCCTCTCTGGACGGTGGAATGGGAAAGGCTGAGCTGCCAGTCTGGCTATAGCCTGCATCATCTTATCCCAGAGGCGGAGCACAGGCTCAGGGTCCTCCAGGGTCCGGAGGTTTTCAGTTGGCACCGTCAAGATGATGTTGTCTGTTGCCAGCTCTCCCCAGGGAGCCAAGCTCTCCTGAATACAGCTCCTCCACTCCTTCTGGGATGTCTTACCTTCAGGAATAAATATCATGGATCTCTCAAACACTTACCCAACTTCCCTTGAGTTGAAAAACACAACTTGAACTCTTAGGAAGAAGACACTGAAATAATGAATTATTATTATTATGTGGGTCTCCTATGAAGGGAAGGACAGGCTTCCAGATCCTTCCTTTGGTTCTGGTCTCCACAGGCACAGAGTGTTCAATTTCTCCTGCCTCCACTTCAACCTTGAACAGTTCATCCTCCTTCTGTCCACCCATCCTATCCCTCTCCTTCTTAGCAATCAGCCCCTAAACTACTGCAGCATCCTTAGAGCTCCCTCTTCCCTCAATATTCAGTTCACTTACCCAGCTTGTAGTATGGGGCAGGCACAGCACTCTTAATAGTGAAGGACATGGGTCCCAGTTTACTGCCTTTGGGCACGATGACATATAAAAGGCCACCCCAGAGGCAAGAGACTGACTTTTTGGTCTTGTTCATACACCATCGGTGAGACACCATAGGGGCTCGAGACAGCTTGCTGGCATTGTTCAAGTCATCGGTGTGGCAGCCAATCTGTACCTAGAGAAGTGATTCCACTATGTGTGAGAGGAACTATGACCCTGTGGTGTGAGTGTGGGGTTGTGTTCAGGGTTGTGTGCATAAAGAATATTAGAAAAACTCCAAGAGCTCCAATATTGCAGCAGAGTAGGTAGAAGTTACACTCATCTCCTCCCGGACCAAATCAAAATTACTACTAAATACAGATCAACCTGAATGATGAACTAAAGACTACATGAACAGAAGTCTTATAAATAAGGATTTTCAGAATCCACATGGAGACTGATAGGAAGGGTAGAGAGGTGAAAGGGCTGGTCTCGCAGCCATGTGCAGCAATAGAGAATACTAAAGGCTATCTCAGCTGCAAAGGTACCCCCTGAAGAACGTAGGTATCAACTCAACTTCGGGCTCCCAAGCCCAGAGCACCAGTGCTACCGTGTTTCCCTGAAAATAAGACATTCCCTGAAAATAAGACCTAGCACAACTTTGGGAGAAAAAAAATAATATAAGAAACTGTCTTATTTTCGGGGAAACAGGGTAAGAAGAGTAGCCCACATAACAGCTGACTGTAAAAATCAGAGTTTAAAAACAGAGAATCTTAAAAGCAGAGAAAGATAAATAGTTACCTACAAGAGAGCTCCCATAGCTGTCAGTTATTTCTCAAAAGAAACATTTCCAGCCAGAAGGGATTGGCATGAAATATTCAGTGATGAAAAGCAAGAAACTAGCCCCAGCCTGTGTGGCTCACTTGATCATGCAGCAAAAGGTCAAACTATATTATAGGCCATAGTAATCATAGTATAGTACTGGCATACAAACATACACATAGATCAATGGGATAAATTAGAAAGCTCAGAAATAAACCCATGTCTATTTACACAGCAAAAGAGGCAAGAACATACAATGGAGTAAAGACAGTCAATTTAATAAATGGTGTTGGGAAAATTGGACAGCTAAATATGAAACCAGGTATTATAGTATTAGACTACCTCCTAATACCACATATAAAAATAAACTCAAAATAGATTAAAGCTTAAATATGAGACTCGAAACCATAAAAATCTTAGGAAAAACATACTAAAATATCAGATATTACTTATAGCAATATTTCTTCTGCTATATCTCCTCAGGCAAGGGAAACAAAAGAAAAATAAACAAATGGGACTACATCAAATGAAAAAGCTTTTTGCACAACAAGGGAAACCATTAACAAAACAAAAAGACAATCTACTGAATGGGAAGAGATATAGGCCAATGATATAATAAGGGCTTAATATAAAAAAGTTATAAAGAACTTATACAATTCAACAGCAAAAACAAATAATCCAATTAAAAAATGGGCAAAGGACTTGAATAGACACTTATCCAAAGAGGACATACAGATGACCAAAAGACATATGAAGAGATGCTCAGTGTCATTAATTATCAAAGAAATTCCAATTAAAACCACAGTGAGATATCAACTCACACCTGTCATAATGGCTCTCATCAATATATCAAGAAACAATATGATGAGGCTGTAGAGAAAGGGAACCCTCGTGCACTGTTAGTGGTAATTCAGACTGTGCTGGCACTATAGAAAACAGTAAGGATTTTTCTTAAAAAATTAAACATGGAACTGCCTTATGATCCAGTGATTTCACTATTTCACTTTATATATATTTATATTAGAGGCCCAGTGCATGAAATTCATGCATGAAGGGGGGGGTGTCCCTCACTCCAGCCTGAACCCTCTCCAATCTGGGACCCCTAAATGGTCAGTTAGACATCTCTCTCACAATCCAGGACTGCTGGTTTCCAATCGCTCATCTGCGTGCCTTTCTGATTGCCCCTAACTGCTTCTGCCTGCCAGCCTGATCACCCTCTTACCATACGCCTGCCAGCCTGATTGCCTCCCTGCAGGCCTGGTCACCCCTAACTGCCCTCCCCTGCAGGCCTGGTCACCCTTAACTGCTCTCCCCTGCAGGCCTGGGACTCCTCAAATGCTCTTCCCTGCAAGCCTAGTTGTCCCCAACTTCCCTCCTCTGCAGGGTTGATCACCCCAACTGCCCTCCCTTGCAGGCCTGGTCCCTCACAATTGCCCTCCCCTGCTAGCCTGATCACCCAAAACTGCCCTGCCTTGCAGGCCTGGTTCTTCCCAACTGCCCTCTGCTGGCCATCATGTGGTGGCCATCTTATGGCCATATGGGGGCAGCCATCCTGTGTATTAGAGTGATGATCAATTTCCATATTACTCTTTTATTAGATATAATACATATCCTACTAATAAAGAGGGAATATGCTAATTGACCCTCACCCAGTTACAAAGATGGTGGCATCCACAGCCAATAAGGAGGAATATGCTAATTGACTGTCATGCCCTCAAAAAATGGCAGTACTCACAGCCACAAGATGGCAGTGCCTAGTCCCCTCAGCCCCACTGGGGTGGCAAGCACATAGCAAGGCCAGGCCTCCCCCCAGGCAGGCTCAGCCGCTCCTCACACCTGCCTCCAGAGTCCCTCGGTCCCCTAAGCTCCCAATAGCCCAGGGCCGGCCTAAGGCACAGGCAAGCCTCAGATGGTGGCTGCCCAGCCGCCCAGGGTTGCCCAAGGCTCAAGTAACCATGGTTGGCCAAGGCTTGCAATGCCGGCAGTGGTGGTAGCAGCAGAGGTGTGATGGGGTGTCTCCTTCCCCTGATCACTGGGTTGCCTTCTGTTACTGAGGGCTCTCAGAGTATGAGAGGGGGCAGACCAGGCTGAGGGACCCCCATCTAGTGCATGAATTTACATGCACTGGGCCTCTAGTTGTGTGTGTGTGTGTGTGTGTGTGTGTGTGTGTGTGTGTCTGAAGACATTCAGATAATTAAATTGAAAAAATATATTATCCTTATGCTCTTTGTAGCATTATTTACAGTTGTTGAAACATGAAAGCAACCGAAATGCCCATTAATAGGAGAGTGGACAAAAAAAGCTGTGGTAATAATATCCAGTAGAATATTACTTAGCCATAAAAAAAAAAAAAGAAATCTTACAATTTTCAATAGCATGGATGGGCCTAAAAGATATTATGCTAAGTGTAATGCATTAGAGTAAGACAAACACCATTTGATTTCACTTATGTGTGGAATCTAAACAAAATAATGAACAAACAAAATCGAAACATAATCATAGATACAGAGAACAGATTGATGGTTGCCAGAGGAGATGGGTTTTGGGGGACTGGATGAAATAGCTAAAAGGATTGAGAAGTACAGATCAGTAGTTATAAAGTAGTCACCGGGATGTCAAGTACAGCATAGGGAATATAGTCAATAATATTATAACAACTATGTATGGTGCCAGGTGGATATTTGACTTATTGAGGGGAATACTATGTATAAAGTATATGATTGTCTAACCACTATGCAACACTCATGAAACTAATATAAAATTAACATTGCATTGTAAATCATAATAGAAAAAAAAATTAGACAAACTCCAGTTTCCCTTTTCTCTGAGCTATGCACGGAAACATATGATATTTTAGCACTTTAAAAGTGACATGGACTGAAGCACGTAGAGTCACTTTTCCAGGGATTAGAACAGCTCCTGAGGCTGATTATGACTAGGTCCTACATGCCTTCTACTGGGTCCCAAACCAGTGTGTTGAGTTTGATGCTGAGGATGAGTGTGAAGGGTCCTGTATACATACAGGAGGTCTGACCACAGGCAGCAGGATCTGGCCTGAAGGGGAGGCCTGAGTTTCTCTCCTTTGTCAGGCTCTTTCCCCGCAAAACCCCCAGGTCTGAAGGACTGAGTACTTCTCTCTTAGGAGTCCTGGACTTGCTTTTCTTATGTTTAATATGAGTTCCAGAAAGGAGCTTGATAAAAAAGAGACCCTAGCTGTGGAAGGAAGTGACCTTCAGGAATTAACCTTCAGGAAGTGACCTTCAGGAGGAGTTTAAATTCTGAGTGTAGTGAGAGACCAGACCAGATTAAATATACCCTTTATGTGTCAAGGTAAAGAGGCAAAACCAGGGAAGGCAGTGTGCCAGGGGAAATTGCGCTTGTGAATATGCAGTGGTTTCTCTCACACTTGGTGTCTCTCCACATTCCTGTTGGGAGGCAAACATCAGCATGGGTGGAAATCGCGGCTTAGGCCTGAGTGCTGGATCTGCTGTTAGTACTCTGGCGCCTGCCCTGAGCTGGATGAGAATGAAGCATCCCATCCTGCGGTTTTGGGATGTGGGCAGTGGATGTTCTGGCCTTACCTTCAGGCCGGTAGAGGCCACAACTTCAGACAGCGAGACTTCTGCATTTTGTCCATTTAGGACGTAGAGTCCAGTACTCACCCAGCACTCACCGTTGCCTGAGAAAAGCCATAAAAAAGGCTGAGTTCTTTTCCCTGCTGGAGCATTACAGCCCCTTCCACAGGTGCAGGCCCTCTCTGCATACCTTACTTAACTCACCCATGTTTCTTACTCTCATCCCTTCTAAACTCGAAAAAGACCCCCAACCCCTCTTCCTGAAAGTAGTTGGTAGAGAATAGAGCTGCCTTCCTGGGCTTCAGCACCTGCTAACCCAACCTTCCCCGGGTCCTGCAAAGCTCCCAGCACTCTCCTCCAGCTCCATACCTGGGTTGTTTCCATCGATGTCCACAGTAATGGGGTGAACTGAAGGGTCCAAGCTGGAGTGGCAGGTCCTGATTCCCCAACACTGCATCAGCTTGGAACAGTCAGTCCCAGAATGTACCAACTCAGTAGCTAGGCAGAGCACTGCAGCCTCAAGGGAATCACTGGCCACTGGGTTTTTCCGGCTCACAGCTGGGAGGCCGAAAAACTGCAGCATCTTCCTTATAACTCGGTGCATAGACATGTACGCAGGGACCCCCTCAGCAGGGATCTGCAGGAAGGCGGCCCCATCACCTCGCAGTTTTGCCAGCCAGCTCTTTTCCAAGTTCCTACTCTTCTGGTTCAGGGCAGCCTGGAATTCCGATAGGGCCTTGCGGAAGTGGTACTTCCGCATCTGGGGGGTGGGGACGGGGAAGCACCCTGGGTTGAGAGACTGAGGTAGGATGCTAAGGCCGAAGCAGTTAAGGATGATGTTACCAGGGAAACCAGCTAACGTGGAGTGCCCTGGGTTCTGGGAGGCCCACCACCAGGCCTGGCCCCCAATCAGCAAGCCCCCTCCCTCAGCCACAAACTCCTGTAGCTGCTTAGCCTGACTGTCACTGTAAGCCGTACAGCAGTAGACAGCCAAGCCACTTGTCAGATGGGGCTCCAGACTGCATTCCAGGCCATGCTCTGACAGTAGGGCACACAGGTTTTGTAGACTTGTGTTCACCCCAATTTTGCCTTTCTGGCCTCTGGACAGCCAGCATATAGCATTGAGCAAAAAGGGCCCCATCTTGGGAGCACAGAGCATGCCCTCATGGGCAGCCAGGACCACCCGGCCCTGGCCATAGCGGGCAGCGGCCAGGAAGCAGCCGAGTGAGGCATCTAACCCCAGAGGGAAGGCTAGGGACCCGTGCACCAGCAGCTGCGAGGGGATTCCTCCTGTCTCGATGTCCAGCTCTGAGATCCCTTCCAGAAGCTGGTGCTGGTCCTGCCTGAGGTCCTCCCCACACCTGGAAAGTGACACAGGGGTCACAGTCAGTCAATGAACTACTGAAATGAGTTCAGTACATAGAGAAATCAATGTGTGGGTACAAATATTACAAAGTTCATGCCAAACTCCTTATTCTTACTGATAACATTTAGGATTTTAATACATAACCATTTATTTTTTTCACATTTAAGGCATATTTTTTCACCTCTTAACAATCAATGGCATATCACTGTTTAATTAACATTGTTTGTTCTTTCTCAGTGCCTCATAAAAATAATGGTGCCTCTTATAATCCATGTTGTCCTAGATTTGATGAAATACTGAAGAGTGAGGTAGTGGCCTTATTTGCACATCTTAAAGCCCACATTCTCCAAATGAACTCTTACCATGTCAGTCAAGTGAAGGTGGACTAATCTGGCTTAAATTTCCTATATTTTTAAATAGTTGAGCATATGACTGAATTAAATTAAAAGAAATGTTCTATTATTCCTGAGAAAATAGTCCTACTTACACATATCTCAGAGCTAATTTTCTGCAAAGATGGAGCTGTAAAAAACATCAAAGTACCCTCACCTTGTGCTAGTTCTGATCTAGGAACACATTATAAGTACATTATTTAACATTATACTTGAAAAATTATACAAATGCACAGTCTTTTTTTTTTTAATTCTCACTTAAATCTGGTGATGTACTTACTACTTTTAATTGAAAAATGTTCAAAATGTAATGAATTCAGAAGAAGTTTTGTATTCCAGGATTTTTCTTTCTTAAAAAACAAAAACAAAACCCCAATTTATAGATACTCTAATGCCAAACAACAGGAATCTGGTTAAATAAGTTATGGTAACCCTAGATAGCATACTATGTACTTATTAAGATAATAATTAGATAGCAGAAAGTGTTTTTTTGTGAAAAAATTTTTTAACCAGATTAAAAGTTACTGTGCACTAGATAAGCCAAATTTTGCAAAAACAAATAAAACAACAAACACAAAACAAAGCAAAAATGAATAAAAAACAAAGCCAGATACAGAAATAAGATTTAAAGCACATTTATCAACATGTCTTCAGTAAGCATCTTGACTATTGGGATTATAGGTGATTTGAACTATCTTTATAAAACTTTGTCTCATAATAAAAATCAAATGTTCAAAAATACTTTATTCATTTGAGTAACACAACATTATTGAAAAAAGTAGCTCTTGTAAAGTTTCTCCTTAATTTCTTCTTAGCGTGAAAACAAGGACTATATCTTAGTTTTAGCATCTGACTTTCAAACTAACGTGGCAAATGTCATACAGGTTCAGGCATCAGTTTTTTTATAAAAATATGTTTTTATTGATTTGAAAGAGGAAGGGAGAGGGAGAGAGAAACATTGATGTGAGACATCGATTGGCTTCCTCCTGTACATACCCTGACTAGGACCGAACCTGCAACCTGGATAAGTTCCCTAAGTGGGAATTAAACCAGTGACCTTTCGGCACACAGGATAATGCTCAACCAATAGCTACAGTTTTACCTGTAGCTTTTTCTACTTATACAGATTCTAGACTTATTTTAGAAAGTAATGCCATTGAGATATATGATTTAACTTATATGATGCTTCTATGTCTCTGGATCTATTTTAGTTCATCAGTTTATGTTGTTGATTATATTCCACACTAGAGGCCTGGTGCATGAATTCATGCATGGGTGGGGTCTGGGCAGCCCTGCCTCAATCAGGGCCTATTAGGGCCAGGCTGGCTGGGGGAGGGGACAGCGGGAGGTTGGCCAGCCAGCCACCCCCATTGGTGATCAGGGCCAGGGCCAGCTGGAACCCCCTCCCCACAGTGTGTGTCATAGCAACTAGTCGTTCCAGTCACTTAGGGTTTTATATATAAATAGATATCAGTGTGATCATGTGGTATTTCAACCTCAGGAGGAGGTGAGTTGGTGGGAACAGATCAATCAAAGGACTTGTATGCATGCATATAAGCATAACCCATGGACACAGTCAATAGGTGGAGTGAGGGCATGTGCTGGGGTGGGGGGGATGAGCAGGGAGAGGTCAATGGGGGAAAAAGAATTTGTATGTAATAGTTTAAACAATAAAGAATTTTAAAAAGAAAGAAAAGACACTATTTTCTCCCATTATATCTTATTAAGAGATGTATTGCCAATAAAATTTTAGTATTTTTTTTTTTAAAGACTTAGCTTGTAGACTTGGCTTCCATTCTTAACTGTTCTCCCAGAATCTTCTGAAAAGCACCTCCTAAAATTTCACCTAATGATAGAAAAACCTTCAATATGGAGAGCCATCGTTAATAAAATTGCTAACCTGAGGGTTTACACTCATATGCTTATAAAAATGACTTACTGTTACTTATCCAGCTGAGCAGATCACTGGTGGGCCCTGGTTCTAGTGGGCAAAGTAGGATCCTGCTTCCTTCCTTGACCCAACAGCCTGATGACCCTGTGAAAATTACTTCCACTCTCAGAGTTGCCATTTGCTCATTGGTTTCTGGGCTTATTAAATAGAGAGAACATTCCTAAATTGGTAAATACACTGCTTGATACATAGGAAGTCTTCAACATGTCAGTGATTATTTCAAATACATAAATAGCCCCAGAATCTGGTCATATAAATAGGACTTTATAGCTGATAAATAGGAACCTTCATACCTAATGGTCATTGCTATGGGTTGATTTTGTGTCCCTCCAAAATTTATATGTGAAGCCCTAACCCCAGTACCTCAGAATGTGACTTATTTGGAAATAAGATAATTGAAAAGGTAATTAGCTAAATTAGGATAAAGTCATATTAGAGTACAGTGACCCCTAATCTAATAGGACTAGTGGCCTTATTAAAAGGGAACATTTGGCCAAAAAAATAGACAGGGAGAGTGGCAGGTGAATATGAAAGTGGAGATCAGGGTGATGCTTCTACAAACCAAGGAAGGCCAGAGAAGACCAGCACATTGCCAGAACAGGTTCCCCCTGCAGGCCTCAGAAGGAAACAACTTTACCAGTGCTTTGGTCTCAGATTTGTAGCCTCCAACTCTGAGATAATATATTTCTGTTATTTAAGCACCCAGTTTGTGGTACTTTGTTCCACCAGCTCTAGTAACAATTCTGAAAATTGATCCTCATCAAACACTTTAGAAGTAGGTAACACATAACATTGGTCTGGATGTTTCCTAACATTCTTGGGCCTACTTTAAAAAAATATTTTAAAAATTGATTTTAGAGAGGAAGGGAGAGAGAGAGAAACATCAATGAGAGAGAATCATTGATCACCTGCCTCCTGCATGGCCCTCTATTTGGGATTGAGTCTGCAACCTGGCATGTCCCCTTGATCAGACTTAAACTCAGGACCTCTCAATCCACAGGCTGACACTCTATCCACTGAGCCAAACCAGCCAGGGCTCTTGGACCTACTTTTAAAAACACTGACACCATCAGAAAGTTGCTCAGGGGTCAGAACATATCTTTTATGTCTCTGATTCCAACAGCACCTAATTCTGGGTCTGGTGGGGAGACACTATCTATAGACAATAAGGCATGCCATAGACACGAGGGGGTTTGGGAGATGTAATTATGGAAAATTATACATGTAGCAGGTGAGATGAGCCATCTGAGCTGCACTACTTCTTATGAGTGTGCTTCAATTTTCTCTTCTGGAAAAAAGGACTCACTCTGTAAGTGTTGCCAGTACTCAATAAGTCATTCCGTATTAAATGCTTAAGACAGTGCCTGGCACAATTTTGAAATTTACACAAGGTGATCAGGATGGGCTGCACATAAAGCAACATTTTAGCCCAGAGTTGTAGATGATGAGTTAGTCCCCCATGCAAATATTCGAAAAAGGACAAGGTCAGGCTCTTTTATTAGATAGGGAATGTTTTTTTTTTTTTTGTTGTTGTTGTTTTAGAACTTTTATGGCTTTCTTGAAGCATTCTCAGAAAATCTGCTTCTGTTCATGGGGTCACCTTTTTCTTCCAGGTGTGATAGGTTCTGTTGTCTTTCCATAGTATATGGATTGTTTTTCACAACTGGCATAGGCAGGTCTTTTGTATAATATGTCCTGATACAATGTGGGTGAATTTTCTGTGATGTTCTATGTCACCCAGAACCAGTTTGTTTCTGTACACATATCTATCCATCTTCTCAGATTGTATTGAGGTCTATATATTGCTTCTTTTCACCTTATCACCTGAGGCTCATATACTAAAAGGCAAAGGCCAGCTGGGGCCAACTGCTGTCCTTGCTGGGGATTAGTCCCTCCACGCATTGGGAACCTAAAGCTTAGGTCTACTCCACCCAACCAGGGATGGAATGCACTTGTGAGGTTCAACCCACCACCATGCTTGGAAGTGGGCATTCCTTCTGCCTCCACCAAATCTTCCAATCATTTCACTGCTTTTATATCTGAGGGTTGTTTCTTCTTAAATGTCCACTTACTCCCCACCCCCCAAAATTTTTCATTCCCCTACAAAATGAGAAGGCATTGATGATCATTCTTGGATTTTTGGTTTCAAATTTTTGTTAGCTTTTCATTGTGCATCTGGTGTGGGGATGGTGTGAGGAGATGCTGTATACTGAGTAACACATCAGCCAGCCATCTCTCGACTGGCCAATGCTCAGCACCACAGGCATCAGCACCAAACCTCAAATTTCAGCTGCTTACTTTGTATTTTTCATTCATTTGATCAGATTTGGTGGAGAGGGCAATTCCTGGATCTAGCCTCTTTTTACATAGTCTTTACACGGAAACTCTACATTTATGTATCTTGACTATGAAAACAACTGTGATGCTTACAAGCTCAGTGGTCCTTAGGCAAAGACCTCGCACTCAAGGGACTGTGATGAGAAGCGAATGAGATAACACGTAATCTTCATGAGATGCATAAGCCTAAGCTATTAGTATGCATTTACTTTTAGATGAGCAGCTCCTAATATGTTACAGACCTTGTAGGTTTCATAAGGTATAAGGGTAATAAGCTATTGGTCTGAGTGTAATCTTTTCTCCAGATTATTCTGTGGTTTGGCATTGAAGCAGCAAGTGCCTTTGGACCTGGTTTTGTATTACAAAAGTAACTGCAGTGTCCTCCTCAGGTATATAATCCAGGTGTGCAGTCAGCTCTTACACTTGGGGTAGGATAAGTAATAGGGTCTTCTGTTGTATTTTGGAGCCAGTTCCTCCCTTGGGAAGACAGAGCAACTAACTCCCTGAAGGCATTTCTGTGCCTTCAGTAGAAATCTGATGTCAGCAAACCTGCTAGGTCAGTTCAGGAGCCTCTATCCAGGATTTGTCTGTGGGAAAGTTCACTGAAAAACCTCAGAGGGGACATCCTGTGAAGGAGGCAGGAATCTGAACTAAGAACGTGGTTCAATATAAAGGCCTATTGGACTCTTTGAGTTGATGGGGTTGGTCAGTTCCAGTTGTTTTTGGTTGAGGCTGGACACTTCTCACTCTCAGGTCCCCTGGCAATACATTGCATAACATGAGGCTGCCTGCATGGTTCACACTAGTATTCTAGGCCACACTTTCTCTTCTTATGATTTTAGATGGGTAGTCATTTATATATTTTATTCATCAATTTTTATAATCTACTAAAATAATTGTTTCTCTCTTGCACCCATCAGGCACTGATAACATTACTGCATTCATGGAGTTTTCTATTCAGGTTGGCTAGACAGGCACTCGAAACTACACAGGTGGGGTAGTTGCAGATTGTGATCATGATCTTTAGGGAATAATGGAGACACTGTGGCAAAGGGAATGGAAAGTTAGTCCTTATTTCAATAGGATCATTAGGGGAAGACTCCCTGATGGGACATATTACTCACCTGACCTGGAGTGGGATCTTGGGCACCTTCTTAGAAACTTTGAATGCGCCTTTGTCCCCATAGGTGTCGGTGAAGTACACTCCGGCCACACTGGTCACCAGGTTCCCAGGGAACCTGGATAGCACCTTGTCACAACCGTGCTGACTGGCCCAGTACCAGGCCTGACCTCCAATGAGCAAGCCCCCACCACGTTTCACAAACTGGACCAGTTCTGCAGTCAGGGTTTCATTGTAGGCATTGATGCAGAAAACCCCTTGGGGGTCTCCTGGATCTGGCTGAACCTGTGCCTCAATCCCAGAACCCCGCAGGATGGTAACTAGTGGTTCTAGGGAGGTGTGCACTCTCACAGGAGCCCCAAGAGAGGGACGGAGCCAGTTCACTGCGTTGAGGAGAAATGGAGCTAAGCCGGCATCCAGCAGGTAGCCCTCATGGGACACCACCACCAGGCGGCCTCGGCCATAGGAGGACGCAGCGATGAGGACCTGGCCCTTCTTATTCAGCATCACTGGGAAAGCAGCCTCTCCAATGAGAAGGAGTTCACACGGGATGGGATCTTCAGGGACATCCCAGCTTGTCACTCCATTCAGAAGGGCCTTGAAAGCCACTGAACTGGGAGTTGTTGCCATGATCACTCAGCGTCTGCAGAGAAAAGTAAAGACAGTGTGATCAGAATAAGTGAAGCAGTGGATGAACAGAAGAAGGACTGAATACGTTCAGATGAGAACCATTTCTTGCGTCCCCACTGTGTGCCAGCAGTGGTGGTGCAGCATGGAACAAGTCAGACAAGGTCCCCACTTTTCTGAACCTAGTATTTTATAAGGGGAAGGACCATAAATTGTTAGACCAAAAGATCAATAAAATGCAGCAATTAATAAGTGTTATAATGAAAAGAAAACATAATGATGTCATTGAATGACTGGAAAAGTGCTTTAGACTCTGACAGGAAGGCATTTATGAAAAAGTGACATTAAAGCTGAAGTGTGACATTTAAGTTGAGACCTGACAGGGTGCTACAGGAGAAGAGCAGTCCCACAAAGAGAAGTGACAGGGTGGCCACAGAGAACTGGGCAGGGAGGAGCAGGACCTGAGCAGAGTGGGCAGGGGCTGATCCTGCAGGGCCTGGTAGATCAATGCAACTTGTGACTTAGTATTTCATGTCCCTGGACAAAAAGGTCAGGTGACCCTTCAGAAACTGCATTTGTTCTGACAGCTTCTTTGACTAAATGAGTTAGAAATGCCTCCAATTTATCCAACTGGGGAAATCACCACCTCCATTTGGGTAGCATTCTGTAATTTCTGGAGCTCTTTTAAAATACACTGCTCCTAAAAGTAAGCTCATTATCCACCTCAGAACAGCTCCTCTTGGATAAATTAGTTAAGCCTCAGTTTCCCCATTTGTAGAAAAAAAATCATAACTCTCTTAGAGGTTGTTTTTGAAGATTAAGACAATACATGCAGAAACGCCTTGTCCCGGGTTGGGTCCACAATGGGCACTGAGAAAATGTTTCTGTCCCTTTGCTTCCCTTTGGTTCTTCCCCAAGTAACAAGGGTCTTATAGTAGATGCTTAGGTGCTGGTGCCATGTCCTGTACCCATTCTAATTTCAGTGACTGCCTGAGATGCATCCTAGAGTCCTCAAAGGGTCCTCGGAGGAACTGAGCTCTGGCTGTCCACAGTGGAAAACAGCTCAGCAATATGCCTTATCCTTCACCACCTTTCCCACTTCTTTGTTTCCTCCTCCCCACATCCTCACCCTGGGTTCTGGGCTCACTTTCCAAATAAACTACCTGTACTCAAGTTCTGCCAAGCTTTGCTCTGGGGAAGCATCTAAGACAGATACCAAAGCCCTCTGCTGCATTTGCCACCTTCCTCCCTTCTGTTTCCACCTCATTCCTTCACCTTCCTTCACGTCACTCCCTTTAGTTTACATTCATATGTATCTAGATAGGACTAATTTGGTTTCCTTCCCAGGATGTATGTCTATCTACATCTTTCTCCAGCCATCTTACAGATATCTCTCCCTAGTAAGAGCCCTCCACTTTCATGCACTGTCCATATGGCACAAGTTGAGTGCCTCACTCTGGGTTTTCAGGTCTCCAGGGCCTGGACTCTCCATTGTTTTCTGCACTTTCTTTTCCTGCTATGTTGGTTCTCCATGAGATCTCAATTTGGCTTGACTTCTACCTCCTATAAAATTCCAGGGTGTCTTTTGTTGTTGTTGCTGTTAGTTCTCACCTAAGGATATTTTTTCCACTGATTTTTAGGAAGGAAAGGAGAGGGGGGAGAGAGAGAGAGAAACATCAATGTGAGACACATTGATTGGGTACCTCCTGCATATGCCCCTGCAACGAGTTATGTGCCCTTGACTGGGAATCCAAGACCCTTCTGTGGTGTGTGGATGGAGGCTCTAACCATTGAACACACAGGCCAGGGGTCTGTCTTTCTTTCTTTCTTTCTTTCTTTCTTTCTTTCTTTCTTTCTTTCTTTCTTTCTTTCTTTCTTTCTTTCTTTCTTTCTTTCTTTCTTTCTCTCTCTTCCTTCCTTCCTTCCTTCCTTCCTTCCTTCCTTCCTTCCTTCCTTCCTTCCTTCCTTCCTTTCCTTTCCTTTCCTTTCCTTCCTTTCTTTCCTTTCTTTCCTTTCTTTCCTTCTTTCCTTCTTTCCTTCTTTCCTTCTTTCCTTCTTTCCTTCTTTCTTCCTTTCTTCCTTTCTTCCTTTCTTTCCTTTCTTTCCTTTCCTTCTTTCTTTCTTTCTTTCTTTCTTTCTTTCTTTCTTTCTTTCTTTCTTTCTTTCTTTCTTTCTTTCTTTCTTTCTTTCTTTCTTTTTCTTTCTTTCTTCTTTCCTTTCTCTTTCTTTCTTTTTCTTTTACCACCTCTTTATCAGTATTGCTCCTTGGACAATAAATTCACAGAGACAGATATCTCCTGCCTGGAGGGTGTGGGGCGTGATCCCAGCTTTTGGGTTCAGGAGTAGGAAAAGCAGGAATCTGCCTCTGAGATGACAAGGGAAGTCTTTCATTAATCTGGTCAGCCCTCGTTTTACAGGCAAAACAAACACAAAACACAGGAGATGAGTAATATAAACTTGCGACGCTGACCCCCAACTCTATGGACCAAAGTGCGCACGCACATACACCCATCTTTGTCAAATTCTTGACTCACAAGTTCCAAGGGGCGAGAGAAAAGTGTTTTGAGACAAATAGTGAACACCTTCCGACCGACGAAACAAAACAAAAGAAAAAAAAATCTGATGAGAGGAGACAAGACAACCTGATGGAAGGCAGGTTCCGCGCCTGCCACCCAGGGCCGCCGTGTGAGCGGTGCTCTGGCACTCGCCCGGAGCTCCGACTCGAAACTCAGGCGCCGAGGAGGAGAGATAAACCAAAGAACTTTGTGCTTATGTGCACAGCCCATGGACACGAGCAGTAGGGTAGTGAAAACCTGGGGTGGGTGGTATGGGCAGGGAGGAGAAGGAAAAAAGGGAGGGGGATAGGAGATATCTGTAATACGATCAACTATAAAAAATATATTTAAGAAAAGGAAGGAAAGGAAAGGAAAGGAAAGGAAAAGGAAAAGGAAAAGGAAAAGGAAAAGGAAAAGGAAAAGGAAAAGGAAAAGGAAAAGGAAAAGGAAAAGAAAAGAAAAGAAACTCACTCTTGAGTCTTCCGGGTCGCGGCGCTGGCAAAACAAACTCACTCTTGAGTCTTCCGGGTCGCGGCGCTGGCTCCGGTGCAGGGACTAATGCAGGCGGTGGTGGGGACCGGGGTAGTGGCCGGTGGGGCGGGACTAGGTGAGACTGGCAGACACGCCCTGGAGCCAACCTCCCTGGGCCACTCCCCCGCCGGCCGCACCCCGTGGGGTGGCGTCCGCAGAGTGAGCGGGGTCCTTCCGGAAGGTGGGATCTCTCAGGCTGTCCTGCGGGGATCAGACCGAAACCGGCTCTCCCACATCCTCTGAGGGGTCCCGGAGTGAGAGAGGGCGCTCTGCAAAGTTGCTATGGGTTGTGAGGAACGCAGACCCAAGTGTGGAATAAACCAGATTCTGGGCCGACAATGCCTCAGCAACAACTTAACGCACCACAAAAGGTGGAATCGAGGGGCCCCGAGGAATCCAGCTCTGTCCTGTCTGGTCTGCCCTTTCTGGTTCCGGGTGTGTCACCACTGCTTGGCAGCTCCTGCATTGAGGGTCTGTCCCCTGGTGGTCAGCACCTGCCTTGCAACTTGTGCTGTGGGCCGTTCGCAGAGGGCCAGGGAACTCAGCAGAGAGAACCGGGCCTGGGATTATATGCAGAAATCATGTCTAGTGATATTGCTGCTGGGAAGGAACTGTGCCAGTTACATAACCACACACAGAGGTCCTTGCTTGGCTGCAGAAATGATCGCTAAAGCTATCGAGTGGCTGCTGCTTGAATTTCAGCTAAGGGGTGGGAAGGTGAAAATCCAGGTGTGGGAGTAGTACTAGGAGATTTACTTGACTCTGATTTTGCACAGCTTTGCATTACAGATACACCATTTTTAATTCGGTGAAGCTTTATTTTGCTTTGATATTGGGGGGGGGGGGGAGAGGATTCTGGAAGGGTGAGTGTTAATACTGGAGGATGATTATGGAGAAGGGGATTTTAGACCCCTTGTTTTCTAAATCTCCCATTGGGGCTACCTTTGGTTTTACAAGTAAATTATCACTCTGTTTTTAAAGTTATTAGATGTACCTATTTTTTTTTAAGGGGGGGTTGTCTTCTTTATTTTTTATTTTTATTTTTTAAATACATTTTATTTATTTTTTTACAGAGAGGAAGAGAGAAGGATAGAGAGTTAGAAATATTGATCAGAGAGAATCATCGATCAGCTGCCTCTTGCACACCCCCCACCGGGGATGTGCCTGCAACCAAGGTACATGCCCTTGACTGGAATCGAACCTGGGACCCTTCAATCTGCAGGCCGATGCTCTATCCACTGAGCCAAACCAGTTTTGGCAGATATATATTTTTTAAGAAAAGGTTTATGACTGTCTCTTCATAAGCATCATTTAAAATCAGCAGCAGTTATTCCCACAAACGTGTAGTGGACTCTTTAGTCATATTTTCTCTCTTCTGTCTGGGGGCTTGTCAAGATCAGTCTCTTCACCACACCTGGAGGTCATGCTATTTATAAAATAGATAGCACCTCCTCCAGGATATTGCTGTCCAGTTCCCTCTCCTTTTTGTGTTTTCATTTTGTGATTTCTTTCCTAGACTAAAATATATATTGGTTAAACTCCCTTCCTTGCATCCTTGTGCAGAACACACCATTTCTTCCTCATGGTTCATACACTTCTTGTCAAGAATGAGGTTCAAACCTCAGCTACTTTATTCCTTCCAAGGTCACCAGGGGACTCCTTCACAAGTCCACATTCCATCCTTACTGCTTGCCTTCAATGCACACTTTGCAGTGCTGGCTGATTCATTTCCAGTCTTTTTTCTTAAATTGACATAATGCTGCATTATTACTATACTTCCCTTTGTAACTGTACCAAACCATTCTTTGAGAGTTGGGGCAACCAGGAATGAAGTGCTGATTCTTATTTTTATACATCTTGAACTGCTTCTTGTTATGGACTAAACTTTGTTCATCTCTTCCCCCAAATTTATATTTT